GCTCTCATCCAGGACTTGATGTCTGTCAGGAAAGCGGTGGGTCCTGGAGTCAATGGTGGAGGCAGAGAGGTAAAGTTGTGTATCATCTGCATATATGTGGAAATTGACCCCATGTCTGTGGATGATGTCACCAAGAGGGAGCATATAGATATTGAAGAGGGGACCAAGGACAGAGCCCTGAGGAACACCGCATGAGACAGTGCGTGGGCTGGAGGAGAAACCGTTTGTGGAGATGAAGTGGAGGCGGTGTGAAAGGTATGATCTGAACCAGTCAAGGACAGAGCCGTGAACTTTGAGGTGAGAGGAGAGGCGGTGGATGAGTATAGAGTGGTCGACGGTGTCAAAGGCAGCAGAGAGGTCAAGGAGCACGAGGAGGCAGAGGGAGCCCTGGTCACAGATGGACAGAATGTCATTTGTTACTTTGACCAGGGCGATTTCTGTGCTGTGGGCGGCACGGAAGCCCGATTGGAGGGGTTCGTGAAGGGATTGGTGGGAGAGGAAGGAGCGAAGCTGAGAAGCAACAACTTGTTCCAGGACCTTGGAGAGGAACATAGGAATTAGGAGCAGGAGTAGGCCATTCGGCTCCTCGAGCCTGCCCCCCTATTCAATAAGATCATGGCTGATCTTTTAACCTAACTCCATCTGCCTTATCCCCATATCCCTTAATCCCTCTATCCTTTAGCAATCTATCAATCTCAGTCTTGAATATGTTAAAGGACTGACTGAGCATCTACAGCCTTCTGGGGTAGAGAATTCCATAAATTCACTACCCTCTGAGTGAAGAAGTGTTTCCTCAACTATGTTCAAATAGGCTGACCCTTAATCTTAAGACTGTGACCCCTAGTTCTAGATTCTCCTATCAGGGGAAACAGTCTCACACTGTCTACTCTGTCAAGCCCTATAAGAATTTTATATGTTTCTATAAGATCACCCCTAATTCTTCTATATTCTGGAGAATATAGATCTAGTTTACTCAACCTATCCTCATAGGTCAACCCCCTCATCCCAGGAACTAATCTAGTGAATCTACGCTGCACCCCCTCTAAGACGAGTATGTCCTTTCTTAAATAAGGAGATCAAAACTGCACACAATACTCTTCAGTGCCGTCTCACCAAGGCCCCTACAGTTACAGCAAGACTTCCCTACTCTTGTATTCTAACCCTTTTGCAATGAACGCCAACATTCATTAGCCTTCCTAGTTGCTTGCTGTACCTACAAACTAACTTTTGTGAGTGGTGTACAAGGACACTATCTAGTCTCTCCCCTTCTAGAAAATAATCCGCTTTTCTGTTTTTGCTACCTAGGTGAATAAATTCACACTTCCCCACATTATATTCCATCTGTCTCCTTCGTGCCCACTCACCTAGCCTGTCTATATCCCTTTGCAATCTTTTTGTGTCATCCTCAGAGCTTACTCTCCTACCTAGCTTAGTATCATAATAATAATAATCCTTGCATTTGATATAGCGCTTTTCACGTCAGGAGGACGTCCCAAAGCGCTTCACAGAACACACTGTAAAGTGAATTGACTGTATATTTGTGGGCGAACGCGGCAGCCAATTGCGCACAGCAATGTCCCACAAACAGTCGTAGATTGAAAATGACCAATTTATTATTGTTTTTGGTTTTGGAGGGATTATTATTAGGCTCTGTGTGGAGTAAGGAAACTTGCCCAAGGTTCCCGCTGCCGGGGATTGAACTCAGGTCTCTCACTTGCAAAGCGAGTGCTCTAACCACTGAGCTACAGGACTCCATGAATTCATCCATGAATTTAGATATTTTAAGTTCTATGTCCTCATGTAGATCATTGATATAGATTGTAAATAGTTGAGGCCCAAACACTGATCCCTGTGACACACCACTAGTCACAACCCGCCAATCTGAGAAGGACCCGTTTATCCCTACTCTCTGTTTTCTTCCCGTTAGCCATTCTTCGATCCATGCTAATATATTGTCTTTAATTCCATGGGCCCTAATCTTATGTAGCAGCCACTTGTCTGCCCCACCCCCAACACTGCCTGTCTGCACCCCCCCCAACACTGCCTGTCTGCGCCCCCTCCCCAACAATGCCTGTCTGGACCCCCCCCCAACAATGCCTGTCTGGACCCCCACCCCCTCGCCCAACACTGTCTGTCTGGACCCCCCCCCCCACCGCCTGTACTGGATGACATGTTACTGTTGACAGCTTCAGTGTGACTGGGAACCTTCAACAGCTGATCAATAATCATTAGTTAGGAACATGAGTAGACGGTTCACTGTATCAAGTCACCCCCAGTAACTTACACATGTTTATTGCTCCAATATTCATTACCTCCATTGATTGACATCTGTCTTCTCTTGACCCCCACAAGCTGAGGCTCAGATCCATTTAGATGTGTCCATCTCTGTTGCCCTCTGTAGAGCTGGGTCACCTCTCTGTGGCTTGCAGCTCTGAGGAGATGGAAACACAAGCACAAGGGGAACCTCTGATGGGTATAAATTATTCACTGCACCAGACTGTTTGGGGTTAGACACCGTCCAATCTCAGTCTGTTCAGCTGTTGGCTTCTGGAGAAGGTTAAAGCACATAGAATTAACAGGCTGTCCATCGATTGATTGGGATAGAGAGGAGTGAGGATCAACAGGTAGATTGTGGCAGGGGGGGAAACTGTTTTATTTCCAGTGTTGAGGAGGTACGGTGTTTATCAGGTGAGGAGATGAGTGAGTGAGAACAGCAGGCTGGACACACAGGCAGAGGACAAGGATCTTAGTGGAGATTGTAATTGTGTGTATTCTAAGTGTAAACCTCCAGCAGGTGTCCTAGGGCTGCCTATTGATCACTCAGTAACAATGTTAGCCGGACTAATGCTCTCACCTCTGGCTGAGATGGTTGTGGGTTCAAGCCCCATGTCATGAACAACAGGTAATTGGAGGGAGTGCACATTCTACTCCAGACACAAGGAATTGACCACATGTGGGTGGCTTACATATGGAGATGGAATTCTCATTCAGGTTTGGATATTCTTAAGCGTGGTTATGGGTTCTGCACGTGTCAGACACCCGGCTGATTAAAACACCCTCATACATTCGGACATTACACAAAGCACGTGAAAGGTAGACATGGAATGGAATGTCGCTCTCTCTGGATTAATATGCAATTCGATGGGCAAACAAGACAAATGTGTTTTTAAGAGTCAGTTGTCACCCCCTGGTGTCTGCGGGTGACATTTCTCGTGCTCTCACTGACAGCTCACCGGCTCCTGGCATTTAACAAGGACCTGCACAGTCCAGTGATTGGGCAACCGATGGTGAGACACAGCGTCAGTGACAGAGATTCTACAAATAGCCCTCGATACAGGACTCGGCAAATCCAGTCTCCGGGGTAAAGAGAATAATAATAATAATCCTTGCATTTGATATTGCACCTGATCACATCTCCAAGATGTCTCAAAGTGCTTCACAGGATATACTGTAAAATGTAGTGACTGTATATTTTGTGAGCAAAACACAGCAGCGAATTGCGCAGAGCAGCGTCCCACAAAGAGTTGTGGGTTAAGTGACCACATTATTATTATGTTTCGAGGGATTATTACCCCTGGGAAAGCGATCCACCAATCGACTATCAAGCAGGTTCCGCTTGTTAGTCAATTGTTAGAAAGTGAAAAGTGTAAGTGAAGAATAGAATTCTTCAATTAAAATTTATTGAAAGTGGCTTTAGTCTGTTCACAAGCCAGAGTTTACTGAACAGGCGGGAGGATTCAACCCTGTGTAAGCCTTATGGTAGGAACATACAAGACTCAGCAAATTCTTTTACATAATATGAAAGTTTTTGACCATAACATTTTCCTAAAAACTGCACAAACTCAGCAACATAAGCACGAAGTTTAGAAGTATCACAACCCAATTCTCCAGTGTGCGTGTTTAAGACATAATTTGTGTGTAGTCTGATGTGTGATATGGGTGCAGTGTTTACTGTGTGCAGTGTAATGTACGTGTGTAGTTTATGTAGCACCTTCACATCAGGAGGACGTCTCAGAGCGAGTGACACTGCATTTCCATGCTCTGCTGTGGAATCCTCACACAGAATGGTCTGTGACTTTGTAATGGAATGTGTGAAACTCTAATGTAAAGCTATTTGCAGCACATCTTACAGTAAATATTGAAACGACCAGTTCCTCGTGTAATTTCCTCTTGTACCTACATTTCACACAACGGGTGCAGGTTTCTGGGGTGGGGGGGGAGCAGTGAGACTTTAAACCCAGGTCCCAATCAGCCAACATCCACTTGTCTCCAGGTGTGACTGCAGATCACAGAATGTGTAGCGCTGAATATTGAACATCTTAAACCAGAGAATATTCCCCAAACCCAGCCAGGATTGTACTGTATGCTCCATCTCTGTACTCCTCATGTTCCAGGACGTGTCTGTTACGCACTGTGAGTCCTGCAAACTCATCATCAACAGCTGAAGCATTGCTGGCAGAGAATTAATGCAGGAGGCTGTACTGGGAGGTTAAGGACTGTACAGAGATCACAGCACAGAGGGCCGTGTGTGTGTGTGCGTGCAGAAATCACGGCACACAGGGCCGTGTGTGTGTGTGTGTGTCCAGAGAGATAACAATACAGAGGGCTGTGTGTGTTCGCGCAGAGATCATAGCACAGAGAATTCTGTACCAAATCCCCAAACAATCCTCAAGAACTGTTCTCACAATTCCCGAAGATGTGATTGAGGGGCTTAACGCTGTTTTCACTTTGTGTCTATTCTTCCCAACGATTGATCAAATCCAACCGTGTTGTCCATCCAATCACTTCCGGACACAGCGCACGGCCACACACCACAGACTGGGTGGGTAGGGTGGGGGGGGCGGAAGGAGCATCAAGGGGAAGAAAGGAGAGGAGATCGACATATCCAGATTGAGAAATGTCAGATGCTTTGATTGCTTCAGGTTTAATTAACAAAAATGTCTTATTTTACGGAAGCAACAAGGTGAAAACGGATCTGGAAATAATTAAAAATAAACACATTTATAGAGTGCTTTTTATGTATATATATATATACAGGGCTCTATATTACAGCTCTGCTCCAGTCAGCGGAGGACTCACAATGCTGATGGCTGGGGTGGGGCTGTGTGTGTCCATGGAGCAGAGGACGGGGAGAGCAGGAGAGCAGGAGACAATTCAATAAGTAAGGTGCTGGTACCTCTCCCAGCTTCCCAGCACTCGTCAGAGACACACAAACTGTCCACTGAGCACATCCATCAGTCTGACGCACTAACTCAGTACATTGTTATGTAGCCCTCGGTGGTGGAGTGAGCCCAGAGGCTGTCCTCGCTGTGTGTGTGGGGAGCACAGCTATCTCCTCCCCCAGGTCCCAGCGTTAAAAGTAGCTGTTGCTGTTCTGTTGTGGTTGTGAATCTGCAGAAGGAAGAGACAGGTTAAACAGAATTCTGTAGCTTGGGGTGCTATGCTGTGTAGCGCCGTGCTGTGCCGTGTTGTGCCGTGTAGCGCCGTGCTGTGTTGTGCCGGGCCATGTTGTGCTGTGTTGTGCCGGGCCATGTTGTGCCATGTTGTGTTGTGCTGTCCTAGTAATTGGCATTACATCCCAGAACCAATAGTAACACAGCTCAGTGACTCCATCTTCACATACACACAGAGACACATACACGCACCCACAGGCACACAGACTTACTGGAGAGCTGTTGCTGTAGCTGGCGCACCAATGCTGCTGTCTGCTGTTGCTGCTGTGTTTGTTGCATTCCTTGTCGCTGGAACTGAAACGTGGAACCAATGGTTTTCATTCTGTTGCCAACTGCTGGCTAACCCCTCCCCGGCTAATGCTTCCCGTCGCTAACCCCTCCCCGGCTAATGCTTCCCGTCACTAACCCCTCCCCTAACGCCCCCTCCCCCCACCCCATTAACCCGTTTTGGGTTTGGAAATAAAGCCACAGATGGGACCTTTGGGTGCCCAATGGGGTTTGGGAGACCCACTGGGTCTGGCCTCCTCCTTGTTCCCCGAGTTTCTTTTCGACTGTGCCTTTGGTCACCTTCCCCCCCCATGGCTCCTCCCCCTCCCCCTGGCTTGGCCCCGGGATCCGTTACTGTAAAGCGCTCTGAGACGCCGTCCGGCGTGGAGGGCACTATATAAATCCAAGTTGTTGTTGTTGTAGTGACTGCCAACCATCACACACACCTCCCTGTGCAAGGTGATGGGGAGCCCAGTATGGGGCAGTATAGCTTACCATGGCCTGCTGAGGGGGGATGGCCTGCATCCCCAGAGCCTGTGGTTGGGGCTGAGCCTGTTGTTGCTGCTGCTGTTGTTGTTGCTGCTGCTGCTGTTGTTGTTGCTGCTGCTGCTGTTGTTGTTGCTGCTGCTGCTGTTGTTGTTGTTGCTGCTGCTGCTGTTGTTGCTGCTGCTGTTGCTGCTGCTGTTGTTGTTGCTGCTGCTGTTGTTGCTGCTGGAATGAGAAATTGACCCATTGACAACTCACAATAGTCTTGCCAGCCCCAGGTAGAGGCTTTGCTCTCGAGCCCACTGCAGGCAGCTCCAGCTGTGATCGAGCAGCATCACCTGGGCCTGTGCTCCTGGTCAGGAACCTGGCTATGACGTCACCCACTCCCTCACTGCTGTCCTCTGCACAGCCTCTAGGACCCGGGACCCCTGGATCTCAGGGACCAGAACTGTGTGCCATATCCAGGTGTGGCCTGACCAGATCACTGTACACCTGAAGTAGTCCTTTGGTGATCTCAACTTGACCTGATTGGACCTGAATTTAGCCCAGGATATCTTTTGCCTTGTTTATTGTTTCGCCCACAAAATATAGTCAACTCATTTTACAGTATATTCTGTGAAGCGGTTTGAGACGTCTTGAAGACGTAATAAGGAGCTGTGTCAAATGTGAGGATTATTATTATTACTGCTTCACACTTTGTGACATAGTGAGAATGAGTCAACTGCCCCCAAAATCTGTCTCGACAAGTTCTATCCCATCTATTACATGGTCTCCTTCTCGCTCCTCGAGACATGGCTCAGGGCAGCCTGACGGAGACACTCCTCATGCAGCGACTTACTCTGAGCAACTGCTGCTGCTGTCGCAGATACTGGTGTTCCTGTGTCAGTTGGCTTGGCCTCATGGCCTGGTGCACATTCTGGGGGTTCATGTGACTAATGCCCGGCATCATGGGGCCCTGTTGCATAGGCTGGTGGGACAGTCTGCAAGAGAGAGGAGACACCGTCACAGCAATAGCCGTGGCTCAGGTTAGCTCAATGTCATGTTTAACTCAAAACATATCCAAGTGCAGCAGAACCTCACTAATCCGATCACTCAAGTGACTGGGCAAAAGTGACCTACTTAGTGAGGTGACTTGATCACTGAAACAGGTCGGATGATTCAAGGTCACCTATGTAATGTTAAGGGCATTGGTAATGGGTGAGGGTGGGGGGGGGGGTGATGAACATTTAACAACCATACTTTGCAATCTCATTAAAATAAAAGCTTTTGTCACATTTAAAACAAAAGCTTCCATGTATTCCTTTTATGTATCCAACTGATGTTCTGCCAGTGCCATAGATCACAGTTGACTGTTGCTATGACTGTTTTTGATTGAGTCCAATCTCTCACGTAAGGACAACGCCTTCCGTTGTGACATGTTTACAGCACTTACCAAGCATTGTGGCAGGAGCTCAGGTTAGGCTGCAGGCACCGGGCAAAGTCGATTTCCTCCCCGCACCGCGCATGTGCGACCGGAGCCCACTCTGCCCACAGTAGCAACGTCAACGAAACAGCACAAGTAGCCCGTGTCCTAGCGCACTGCGTACAGATTAGTAGCAGCGGGGATAGGGGGGTGGGTTGTACTGCGTTTGAAGCAGAGGAGGGCCCTGTAGCGGGCCAACGACCATTGTCCTGAATAGTGAGGTGCCTGGTTTACTGAAGCAGACAGACAGCCTGTCGTTCAACATCGACAATGAAAGAGACTGTGAAAATGTGCCCACAATTGTGAGGTGGATGGAATACTGAGGTGACTGAAAACCGTGTTTCTACTGTACTCCACAGTAATCCCCGTCACAATGACTGTCTGTGTGCTCAGGCAAACATGTATCGCAGCACAGCCCCACAACCAGCCACACGTGTGCTGTGTGCTCAGTCTGGTGTATGTGTGTTCTCCATGGCGTGTGTGTAGCTAGTACATGTGTGACTCACCTCTGTGTGTTCTGCATGGCGTGTGTGTAGGCTGGCGCATGCTGGTGCACGTATCCACTGGGTCTCTGCTGGAGCTGCCGGACCTGATCGATCACCACGGGGTTGTTGGCGGGGAGGCTGCCCTGGTACGGCTGGTTGGAATAAGCAGGAGGAACCATGCTGTTGGCCTGAGGGGGGTGTGGCTGCATCCCCCCCATGTGAGAGCCATAGGTAGTATATCCCTGGGAAAGATTCTAAAAGACAAAAGTATCAGATCATTAAACGCGTGTCAGTGGAGTCCTGTAGCACAGGGGTTAGAGCACTCACCTCGCAAGAGAGAGGGCTTCGGTTTGATTCCCGGACAGGACAAAACATTGGTCAAGTTTCCTTACTCCACAGGTCTCTGTTTTCCAGGAGTCAGTAGGAACCCAGTTGCTAAAGTTGATTGGCGGATCGCTTTCCGGGGGTAATAATCCCTCAAAAAAAATGTGGTCCCTCAATCCAAAGCTGTTTGTGGGGACATAGCTGTGGGCAATTGGCTGCTGCATTTCGCCCACAAACATAGTCACTACACTTTACAGTGTATTCTGTGAAGCGCTTTGAGACGTCTCGAAGACGTGATAAGGCTCTATATCAAAGGCAAGGGTTATCATTATTATAGATATAACTGTGCAGCCTGATGCTGGTATAGACGGTTATGGTCTTTCAGTGTAACACGTCAGCAATGAGAATCCCCAGCAGACAGGAGTCTGTGAGGAGGGAGCAGGGCTGGACCTGACTGACCTGAGATTGGGCCATGGAGCTGTACTGCTGGGCTGGGTTTGCCTGTCGCACCTGCTGTGCGTACATCCCACTGGCATTCTAGGAGAGACAAGGAGAGATGTTCAGGCAACACCAACTGCCTGAGCAGCGAAACACAAAACTGGATCCACAAACAACTTACCTCTACACAGTGTGTTCTCTGGGAAACTGTGCCATGGTCCCCGCACTCCATGTACACTCAGCCCCACCCACACGCTCCCATCCTCCACTGCCACTCCCCCCTCACCCCACCCTGTGACTCAGGCCCGACCCCTCACTGGCTCTATCCTTTATTCTCGGCCCCGCCGTCCCCAGCCTGGCACAGCGGGCATTCCCTCCCCAGTCTGGCACAGCGGGCATTCCCTCTCCAGTCTGGCACAGCGGGCACCCACTCCCCAGTCTGGCACAGCGGGCATTCCCTCCCCAGTCTGGCACAGCGGGCACCCACTCCCCAGTCTGGCACAGCGGGCACCCACTCCCCAGCCTGGCACAGCGGGCACCCACTCCCCAGTCTGGCACAGCGGGCACCCACTCCCCAGTCTGGCACAGCGGGTACCCACTCCCCAGTCTGGCACAGCAGGCACCCACTCCCCAGCCTGGCACAGCGCAGAACAATGCGGGCACTCATTTACCAGCCTGGCACAGTGCAGTGCAGGCACTCACTCAATAGCCTGGCCCAGCACAGCATGGCCCAGCACAGCATGGAGAAGGGCACTCCCCAGCCTAGCACAGCGCAGCGCGGGCACTCACCAGCCTGGCGTGTAGTTGGTGTCGGAGGGCTTGTTGCCCCTGGGGGATGGATGGCTGGGGCTTGTACTGGGGCAGCTTGTAGTGCGAGGGGTCCAGCATCGGGGGCGTGGCTGTGTAGGGTGGGCGTGTCTGGATGATTTTGAAGGAGGGTCTGACTGTGCGATAGGGGATGGTGTCTAACCGGGGCCCGCCTACAGCAAACACAACAGTTACTACACATCCTGCAGTCAAGCCCACGACAACTATACTGGGCTCCCCATCAAACTGGGGGCAGCTCCAAATACACCGACATTGGGGTGGCGCCTGACCTGCCCCCCCACCCCCATCCTGCCATGCCCACACTTCCCACCCCTCCCCTCCACAGCCACTCAGCAGGCAGCAATGCACAGTGCTGTGTGGGCTTACACACCCAAGCCTGGCCACAGCAGATACAGGGCAATGTCAGGAACATGCGGAGGGAGTCACACTGAGAGCACAGGCTGGAGACAGAGAGTAAAGCCAGTGCGTGTGTATGTGGTGTGTAGTGTGCGCGTGCGTGACAGTGAAGTGTGACAGTGCCCAGGGCGGGGAGGCTGGGGGCTTACCTGCGGGCAGAGGCTGGTTCTGTGCGTAGATGCCCACACTGCCTTGGTAAGGCAGACGGCCGTATAGGTTGCTGGGCGGGTGTGATAGGAGATCAGCTGGTACCCCCCCACCATAGGGCGGCATCCTGTGCCCCCAGCCCCAAGATCCAGCTGTGAGGAGAGAGAAAGCAGGCTTAGTGCCTGATCAGTACAAGGGGTGGGGGGGAAAGTGTGTACAGGGGTGTGTGTATGTGGGGGGAGGGGGGTACGTGCTAGTGCGTGCGCGCAGGGGGGTGTCGCAGGAGAGAGTGTGTGTGTGTGTGTGTGTGTGTGGGGGGGGGGGGCCTACAGAGGGGGGGGGGCAGTGTGTGTAAAATGGGGCAGTGTATGTGTATGAGGGGGAGAGTGTATATAATGTGATCCAGAGTATGTGTGTAAGGGGGGGCAGTGCGCGTGTGTGTAAGGGGGGGCAGTGCGCGTGTGTGTAAGGGGGGGCAGTGCGCGTGTGTGTAAGGGGGGGCAGTGCGCGTGTGTGTAAGGGGGGGCAGTGCGCGTGTGTGTAAGGGGGGGCAGTGCGCGTGTGTGTAAGGGGGGGCAGTGCGCGTGTGTGTAAGGGGGGGCAGTGCGCGTGTGTGTAAGGGGGGGCAGTGCGCGTGTGTGTAAGGGGGGGCAGTGCGCGTGTGTGTAAGGGGGGGCAGTGCGCGTGTGTGTAAGGGGGGCAGTGCGCGTGTGTGTAAGGGGGGGCAGTGCGCGTGTGTGTAAGGGGGGCAGTGCGCGTGTGTGTAAGGGGGGCAGTGCGCGTGTGTGTAAGGGGGGCAGTGCGCGTGTGTGTAAGGGGGGGCAGTGCGCGTGTGTGTAAGGGGGGGCAGTGCGCGTGTGTGTAAGGGGGGCAGTGCGCGTGTGTGTAAGGGGGGCAGTGCGCGTGTGTGTAAGGGGGGCAGTGCGCGTGTGTGTAAGGGGGGCAGCGCGCGCGTGAGGGGGGGCAGCGCGCGCGTGAGGGGGGCAGCGCGCGCGTGAGGGGGGCAGCGCGCGCGTGAGGGGCGGCAGCGCGCGCGTGAGGGGCGGCAGCGCGCGCGTGAGGGGCGGCAGCGCGCGCGTGAGGGGCGGCAGCGCGCGCGTGAGGGGCGGCAGCGCGCGCGTGAGGGGGGCAGCGCGCGCGTGAGGGGGGCAGCGCGCGCGTGAGGGGGGCAAGCGCGCGCGTGAGGGGGGCAGCGCGCGCGTGAGGGGGGGCAGCGCGCGCGTGAGGGGGGCAGCGCGCGCGTGAGGGGGGCAGCGCGCGCGTGAGGGGGGGCAGCGCGCGCGTGAGGGGGGGCAGCGCGCGCGTGGAGGGGGGCAGCGCGCGCGTGAGGGGGGGCAGCGCGCGCGTGAGGGGGCAGCGCGCGCGTGAGGGGGGGCAGCGCGCGCGTGAGGGGGGGCAGCGCGCGCGTGAGGGGGGCAGCGCGCGCGTGAGGGGGGCAGCGCGCGTGTGAGGGGGGCAGCGCGCGTGTGAGGGGGGGCAGCGCGCGTGTGAGGGGGGCAGCGCGCGTGTCAGGGGGGGCAGCGCGCGTGTCAGGGGGGGCAGCGCGCGTGTAAGGGGGGGCAGCGCGCGTGTAAGGGGGTAGGGTCTCACCTCGGCTTTACTGGACGCTGGCCGTTTTTTCCTAGTTGTGTTTTTTTTCTTCTTCTCCTCGGTGGGGTTGGGTTTCTCTGGTTTGGGGGGCTCCACGGCAGTTTTCTCGGGCTCGGGGGGAGCCGGGGCTGGGGGCTCCTCCTCCTCGGGGGGCAGGGGCAAGGGTTCCAGATAGTAGCTGCGAGGTTTGGGCTTGAGGTGCGTGTGGTACAGCAGCAGCCGGTGCTGATCCTCAAACTTGGTGACCTTGCGGTCGACACGGACCGTCCCAAACCAGCCCCAGGACAGGGGGGCCGAGTGCTTCATCCCCTCAAACACGTCCCACGGGGAGATCTTCTGCTTCGTGGACACCTGCAGCCCCTAAACCAGCGAGAACACAGCCAGCGTCAATGGCAATAGTGACACCAGCAGCAGCTGCCCATAGTGCCAACCCTGCCTAACATCTGGGCAGGAGCGTCTGCCGCGCTCTTCCTCCCCATCCAACTTGCTTCCACGTAACCCACTCGCCTGATGATGACACTGGCATGTTTAAAACCACCCCACCTGGCACCAGCAGCCTGGCACCACCAACAGCTTGGCACCGACACCAACAGAACTTGCCTCCTTTTTGAAGTATGGAATCGAAGCCGGCGATCTTGTTGCCTTTGGTGTCGATGAGGGAACCCTGGGGCTCACAGGTGATGACGTCCCGGGTCTGCTTGGGCAACGGCAAAACTGACGCACTTTCTCCAGACTCTCGGACTGACGGTCCCAAGCTCCTTCTGTGGCCGCAGGGCACAATCATCAATTTGCGGCAGAGAAGACACGGGCAAGAGAGGAGCCATTCCATCCGCCATACTCACACATTGCCCACCCACCCCCCAACACACCACACGCTGCCCCCCACACACAACGCTGCCCCCCCCACACACACACTCCCCGCCACACACACGCACTCCCCCACACACACACACCACCCACCCACACAACACAGCCCCACCCACCCACAGCCTCCCACCCGCCCCCCACCTGCACACCGCTCCCATACACACTGTGCCTGTGTGGGGAGGGGACAAACACAGGAGACAGCACAACCCCCTTGCCCGCACCCATTATAAACTAGCCGCCCACAGGCCGGGCTCTGGTGAGCAGTAAATCTCCTCAGTACGAGGCACACTTTACCCTCAGCTTTTCACCAGGTTCATGTAGGCTCGTTTGTTCTCCTCCATGCTGCCCTGCGAGATGCTGGGACATGTCCGCAGCCAGGGTCCCGTTCACTAGCACACTCAGCATGTCCAGCACCGTGTGAACAGCTCGCTGTGAGAGTAACAACCAGTGAGCAGCTCTCAGTCATCAGCACAGCACCCACAGCATCCCACCTCATCCCAGCCCACCTCTGCCATCCCACACCACCCAGCCCCCATCACAGCCCAGCCCCACCTCCCCTACCCTGGCCTCCCTGTCCCACATACACCTGTCTCACCACCCGTCCCTCGACATTCTGTACCTCAGAGTAAGATCAGTAATGGCGGCTGCGTACTTGTTGGAATGCATGTCCACTGTCCCGCTGCTGATAATGTCCAGGAGGAGCACGGCCCACTCGGTGGTCCCCTGTGTGCTGCGCTGCACCGTGTCAAACATCCCCCCCACCTGAGGAGGCAGAGCACAGCAGGTTAATGACAGTCACTGGAGGTTAGAGTAGAAAGCTCCAGCAGGGGAGCCAGCACCAGCACAGACACCATGACCTAGCAGCCACTTGCTCGCTCTCCAGCCAGTCAAGTAGCTGTTGCTGGGACTCTAAGCTATGAATGTGCTGCAGGGACCTGGAACCCTGGGCAGAAGTGATTGTCCTTCTCTTCCAACTCACAAGTTTGCGAAAATCCTGGGCTGGAAGCAAGCAGTGAACTGTAAACGAGAGCCAGTGTAGCATCTGGAATTCATTAGCAATAGAAAAGTTGGAAGGATTTAAAGGATCAGCCTCACTCCCTCGCTTGGCTTTGAACTGGAACATGTTTTGTGCTCTGCTTGGTACCAATGTGCTGGACACGTGCGGAAAGGGAAATCACATCAGGCCCTGTCCGGCCTCCTCCAGGGTCACAGCCAGACTCTGCACAGCCGCCTTCCTGATAAATCACACGCAGGAGGCAAGGGGAAGCTGCACGAGAATAAGGGCAAAACCAGCCACTTACTGGCCCGCCGATCACTGACTGTGCTTTCTGTGCTTCTCTCCTCTCTTTCTGCCTAGAGCTGAACCTGGGAGGCCCGAGCTTAGTCTCCAGCAATAGATACAAAAATTATGCCAAAAACAAAGTGGACAAATCAAACAGCGAGAAATCGCAGGGACCCCCACGATAGACTATATCTCACACCCCCCCACCAGCAGCCCCCCCACCCCGGCAGGACATTTCTCCCCCCGTGTGTGGGGCAGCTCCATACCGTTTCCCCGCTTACCAGATTCAAGCGCAGCTTCAGGGCTTCGTGCATCATCTGCTTGGCCTTACAGTCGTCCTGGTACTGATCTTCCCGCCAGTTGGTTACAATCTGAGTTGAAGGGACACCGAGATTAAAGAGGGTTTGGGACCCCCACCCCGCTCAGCCTTGCTGTGGACCAGAGTGACATCAGGACATACACCGCCCCCCCGCCCCTCGGTATCACACGCTGTATGTTACCTGCTGAACCTGGCTGTACAACGATGTCAGGAGTCCCTCTCGCTGCTCGTCCTGCCCCTTCAGACACGTCAGCACCAGGGAGAGGAAGGGCTGCTGGCTCAGCAGGGACATGCTGTCAGGGACAGGCGAGAAAATGAGTTGCAAACCCTCCAATGTGTGCTACGTAAAAGCTTTTCTGTATTAAACAGAACAGACGTGATTGCCTAGTCTCTGCGGGCTTCCTGCTGCAGGTCGTCCTCCACCCCCGGCCTGCACTGGGGGCAGCGTCAGGGACTGAGCCTGAGCCAGTGACTGAACGACTGCAAGCAGCGGATGCTGGGAGGAGCTGACCGTTACTCCACCTCTTCTGTTTCTGACGGTCTCGCTCCTTCCGCGAGGATGAGCCCAGGTGTTGCCCCTTCTCCAGCTCCTCTCCGGCGGCTTTCAGCACGTGGCCCTGCACTGAGGTGGGCAGCTTAGCGATCAGTGGGGCCACCAGCCACACACCGGACCTCTCCGACGAGCTGCCGAGAGACAAGCAGTGATTGCCGTACGGCAGTGAAGTAGGTCACTGCACACTGTGTGTGTGTGCACATGGGTGTGTGTGTGCACGTGTGCGTGCACCTAAACCAAATCCAACATGTGAGGGTGTATATTTTACAGAGCGACCAATGTGCCAGACCTGAGGTCAAATCCTGTGGCTGCTGGAAGTTATACTTGCTGTGGCTATGGCTGTCTATTTGTGTGTCTGTCTGGCCACACCCGCCTTGTGAGGTTTCTGGTGCTGGATATTTTCCAAGAGAGCGCTTGTGGCTGATCACCTCGCCAGCCCACACCTCCCTCGGCTTGATCTGACGTCAGCCTGGAACCCGGAAGCAGCATCGATGGCCATTTAACCTCAGGGACCATTAACAACGGGGTTGACAGCGGGATGTAATGATATGGAGCACATTATTGGGGTCGTCCTGTTTGATCACGTCTC